ATATTCATGCTGTACATTTTCACAGTACTTTTCTTGTGAGATAGAAGATGTTACAGGATTAGGAAATGAGAGTGTCTTTAAATGTCCTCTTCTAAAGGAATTTTTATTTTTTGTGTGTGATAGATATGTTTGACATTTTGTAAAGGTCTATGAATACTTCCTTGGAATGATATTTTAAATGAATAAAGTAAATTACATAAGATTAGAAAGGAAACCAATTACATTGAAATGCATTTTTCAAAATATATTTTAACAAAGCAAGTTCACATTCCAGATTTACAACCTTTCTACAGGTCCCCTTCGTTTAGGGGATAAGGCCTTAAAGGTCCAGAAAAAGGTTGTGATTTTCTCTAGATTGCAAAAAGAGGAAGAAGAGGTATGAGATTTGAACTTAGGTTGTCTAACACTTGTGCTCAGTTGACTACATGCTGTTGCCAATAACCAATCAACAAGGTTCATCGAGTACAATTTAGGAGTCCGTTCCCCCTCCCCCCCGAGTTGGTATTGTAGCAACCCAGCATGTAGGTGGTGAGACTATTGTGGGTCCTCTTCATCCTAACATGCGTTATAGAGATGGCATCAGGACCAGAATGCCAATATTACAGAATAATTATCCCTCAGAGCAGAAGTAAACTCCTTTTTCCATAATCTATACCAAAAGTTCTAATTGTGTTTTGTGAGATGATTAACTTTGGTGACCTGGGCGATGCCTTTCATAAATCTTTTGTCAGAGTAACGTACTGTTGTTGTTTTAAAAATTAAAAATGCAAGGAAATATTAAATTCAAGTTAGAGAGTCATGAAAATACAAATTTTTCCTTATCCACATTCATGGATCCACAAAGGGGTCCATGGATGCAGGTTTGGACCCTCTTTTGTACTGTATTCCATTAGCGTAACAGCAATATATAAATAGGGTATCTAATAGGATATATTGTAACACACCAAAAAAAAATCAGAGAGATTAATCATATTTTACTTGTTCAGCAAATTTCTCATGCACTAAATCATCTTGACCATGAAAGCCAAGTTAAATGGCTTTTTATTTTGCCTTTTAATTAGTTATCTTTTGAAAGCTGTATAAAAAGGGAATGTAAGGCATTGACTCTGGAGCCAAAAATAGCATTAATGACTGGCAACCTGCACAGGAAGCCAGAGTTTGTATTAGATCTAAAAGGGTGAATGTCTTCAGGGCAACTGAGCAATCTCACCTTCTGTTCCCAGTTGTGTGTGTGTGTATGTGTGTGTGTGTGTGTGTGTGTGTGTGTGTGTGTTTTGTCAGATTAGCAATCCTTGGAAAATGGAAATGATAATTTTAGAATCATATATAAGTCCTTTAGGAAAGAACCACACAGGTCCTGGCAATTAAATATTTCAATGCATAGCATGTAAAATGCATTCTCTGTCATTTGGTGATTACAGGATCACAGTTCCCAGAGCTGAATGAGGCATGGGAGGACATCTAGTCCTATACCTTCATTATAACACTGAGAAAACAGAATATTAAATAATGTTTAAGTTATTTGACCATAGTTGTACAGATAGTAAGTGGCAGATTCAGTATTACAAACCAGATCTTCTAACTCCTAACCTAGCATATTTTTCCGTTGTTGTTCCTTCTTAATGAACAAATATCAAGTGAAGGACATAGTCACAGTAACTTACTCTGTTTTTGGCACTAGAAAATTGTGACAGAATATACTTGGTTGTTGTTATACAATGTGTTTTTTAAGGATTTGTTGATATAAAGAGTAGAACTTAGAGTTATAATTTTCAGAAGTTTGTTTTATTATTTTTGTTACTAAAATAGTGCTTTTGTGAACTCTGGGCCTCATTGCAATTATCTAATAATTGAAACACCATTGTAAAGAAATGTAGTTACAGTCAATTCTCAATATCAAGCATTTAACTTGTGTGACTTCAAGCATTCAGGTGATTTTATTTGTAACCTCATGTTCGCTTTCACTTGTGGCAACCTCACGCATTCATGGCTATATTCAGTGGAGAAAAAAGATGAGAAGTGTAATGGGCACAAGTTTATGCAGTAACTGGTACCCTATTGGCAACTTCACTGGTCTTGTACACCCAACATTTGTAAAGAGCTTCCCATGCATTCATTGCTTATTTTCATTGTTAACCTTTAAAACTCAAATTTTGTGTTGCAATTATGCCTCCAAAGTGTAGTGCAAGTCTTCAGGGCTCTAATATGATGACAAGACCTTATCAGTCTTGGCTTTTTCTGACAGCAGTGACTAAAGTCCCATCTACCTCTCCTTTGGTTTTCAGAAGGTGGCCAAGGTAGAATGGTTTTCAGTAGCATAGTATATAATACAATGACCTCAGATTGCCATCTGGCACAGTGGAAGGTAAAATTCAAGTTAGAAAATGTTTTAGTTTTAAGAATTTATTTGCTGTATTGTATTTATGGTACTACATGTGTTTTGAAAAGTGAATTTGGTCAATGTTTTTTTTTTTAAATTTAATGTATTTTATTTAAAAGATCAAAAGATCAAAAGCAAGAAAAAATGTTTTACATGTTGCCAATTTTATTTTTGTGTACTGCATTTTGTGAGTGTCATGGGTACTGTGTTAGAAAAGTGTTTGTTATCAGAATGAATGTTTTCCGGTAAACAATTGTATGCAGAAAAGTGTATTTTCAGCAATGTGTACATAAAGATTACAGTTTTTTTTTTCCTGGGTGTGAGAACTTAACTGCCTATTTCCCATAAGTTCCGTGTTATCAACATTCACGTTTTTGAAGTTCATGCCATTTTCTAGGAATATTACCCTTGGGAAAGTTGAAGGTTGAATGTAATTGAAAATTTGAGAGATGGTGTTAAAAATATTCAGCATTATAAGGAAACTGGGCTATAAATGTATTTAAAACTTTTTTTTTAAATATATGTCTTAACGTGTTTTTGGGAAAAGAAGCAAAGGATCTGTAACATTGGGAAATGCAGAGAACTCATCAAGTAGTATAAGAGTGAAGTAGATGTTGCACATTGCCCACTTTTTCGATGTATTGATCCATTCTGCTGATTTATTTTTCCTTCTTTTTCTTTCTTTTTATTGTTTTGCCTTTAAAAGATGTTATTTGTTATGTGCGATGGTTCTCTGGGAGGGAGAAGAGGAGACTCAAGGGAAAAAGCTATGATGATGTAAGAAACAGAAGACATCGGTAAAAACTTGTTTTGGAAAAAAAATCTGAGAAGGGATCCATAGCCTGTCCCACACTTCCAAAGGTTTCTAGGATACAAAAAAGGGTTAAGAAACCCTGACCTAACAGAAAACATTGAGTGGAACTGCCACAGAGGATTTATGGTGAGGAGGAGAAGGTGAGAGTTGAGTTGTATAGGAGGTGGTTGAATTATATGCTGTGCTAGTGGGAGTCAGCATTCCACATCAATGAAATCACAAATCCATTGAAATATTAAATCTCACATTTATGTATTCTTTTATGGTTTGTGAAGCTTTTTCCTTGCGGTAGTTGGGTGAAGCTTTTAGTGCAATTATCATTATTTTTATTTTGCAAATGAGGTAACTGAGGCTTAGAGAGTTTAAATGACTAAATCATAGCCTTGCATCTAGTAGATGATGATGCAGATGTAAATCTTAGATCAGCTCCTATGATCTTTCCACAGGTTACATTTACAGTAATAAATAAAGTGGGAAACTTATATCAAACTTACATCATTCAACATATCATCCAAACAATCAGCTAGAACTTACTCCTAACTTCTACTAAGTGACTAGATGTATTATCTTATGGATATGAAAACAAGGGAAGAGATCTGATTTTGGAATGACCACTTGAGGCATTTTGTAGCAAGGCTGAAGGAAAGAGAGCATGTTTGTGAATTTGTTGAAACATGCACTCTTCCCCCATGCCACATATTAAGTTTTGGTTTCTGTTTTGAAACATGATGTATCAGTGGAGATACAGTATTTACCAAATTTGCAAATTGTTGATATAAATACATATTACCTAAGGAAAAAAAGTACTGGCTAGCCATATATCCTAGGGAAATAGCAGCTCTGCATCTCATTCAGGGAGGTGGAATTCTACTCACCTTAGTAAAGATACATCCATGTTGGGAAAAATAATCTAGATGTATTTTCTCAGGAGCAGATAACTCACTGGATTTGCCTTTTGTAGACTTTCAGAGATATCCAACATAAATTGTTCTTGTTTTTCCTTGATGTGAAATAATTCACTAGTCTGCAAAGTGGAGCATTCTAACAGAACTTTAATGAATTAGCTTAACCTGAGAATAACCCAGAAGAGTTAATAGAGGCTGTGATCCAAATTTTTGTTCAGAGACCTCAACGGATCATGAGAACTTTTGATTTTCGTGGACTTGGATATGCCTTTTTCATCAGCTCTTCTGATACAGAAATAAGAAAAGAGGAAAAAGGAAAGCTGAAGTTTGCTTATTTTTCTTATTTGTTTTTTTTGTTCATTGTACATAGTCACATTAGATAATACAGGTGAAACAAGTCATTGGGGATGGGAATAAATAAAGTTCATAAGAAGCAAAATGAACATCTCTATGAGAATTGGAATAGGCTTTAAATTGGGCCTTCCCACCTCAGTTAATTCCACCAAGATGGACTTGCTTTGGTAATATTTGTGGTTTCAGAAAATGGAGATGCTATAGAGGACTATATAAACATTACTGTTGTAAAAAATGTTTTTAAAATTAGACAATAACTCTTTCTTGTACAACCTAGTGCTGACTAGCTATTTGAATGAATTAGTGAGGCATTTGAATCATTTTCATCCTCATAGAGACAGCCTTAGCATACAAAGTATTGTCAATTATATCAGATCAAAACAAAGCAAATTATAAGGGCTTATATCAGTGACAAAAAAATAGTTTCTAGTGAGTTATACTTCTTCCCCACCTTGAGAAGTATAGCCATTCCATACAATCTTAACTGAAAAGTTAAGTAAAGAACTAGCCTTAATTGTTTAATTTACAAGAACCATGTTTCTTTCAGCTTCTTACCTGAATACATCAGTGGAGATTTTGATTCTATTAGACCTGAAGTCAAAGAGTACTACGAAGCCAAGGTAAATTGGAAACTTTTTTTCTTTTAAAGAGCTATCTTGGTATGGAATACTTTTTTCCTTTGTCTTTTTTTAATTTGATTTTTTTTTAGGGAGGTGTCTTCTGAGAATTAGTTAGGAAATGATACATTTAACTTTAGGGAAAATAGAAATAATAAAATTAAAAATTTAATTCTCTTCCTATGTCTCTATTCATCTATTCATTCATTTCTTCATTACTTCTTGTTTGTGTATTTATTTCTTCATTATTTAATTTATAAAGCCTATGGGATGATTGGTCTGACCAATGGTTTCTTTGATTTTTGTCTTGTCTTATGTTTGTGTTTAGAGAACCATTGGACAGGGTTATTTCTATTGCATATACTTTGAAAGAAACGTTAAATAATTTTGATGTGTAGGTGGAGAATACCTTGTTGGAAGGGAAAATAGAATCGATTATGTTTTTTCCTCAAACGCTCTTCTTTCAGACGTCTTTATTTTGGTTGAAGATTCCACTATTCTTCCAGTTACTTAGGTTTGTAACCTTGTTGTTCTGCATTCTTACTGCTCCTTCACTCCACATACTCAGGCAGCTGCCAAGTTTTGCTGTTTCTGTCATCACCGTGTCTCTGACATCTGAGCTTTTCTCTTTGTTCACACATCCACCAGCTTAGTTCAGGCCCTCATCATGTCATGCATAGATTACTGCAACACTCTCCTAATTGATCTCTCCCCACTCCAATCTGTCTTCTACATAGCTGCCACTGTGATTTTCCATAAGTACAGATATGATTGTGTCCCACTTATGAAACTCTAATTATACTCTGTTGCCTGTAGGATAAAATATAAACTCATTTGGGTATATATGGACTTCTCTGCACAATCCATCTCCTAGTTATCTTGCCAACTCTGTACCTCTTCACTTCCCTTTCATTAAGCCAGTCTTTTCTGTCAAGACACAGCTTAAGCACCACCTAATACACACAACTTTCCCTGATCACTGGAACTATTATTGTCCTCTTTCCTTGCATTCATTTTGTATTGTTGTTGTTCAGTTTTTTCCATTTGTGTCCAATTCTTTCTGACTCCATATAGGGTTTTTTTGTTTGTTTGTTTTTTTGGTAAGGACACTGGAATGGTTTCTCATTTCATTTTCCAGTTCATTTTATTGGTGAGGAAACTGAGTGAAACAGGGTCAAGTGACTTCCCCAGAGTCACACAGCTACTAAATGTCTGAGGCCAGATTTGATCTTGGCAAGATGAGGCTTTATGCCTAGCACTCTACCTGCCCTTTATTCTGCAAATGCATGCGTAAACATATATACGTATGTTGTGTCTGACATGCTCCCATGAAAGTTCCTTGAATGTAAGGATTATTTCATTTTTGTATCTGTATCCTGAGTACCTAGTGCAGTATTTAGTGAATTATAGGTACTTAATAGGTATTTATTTGTTAGTTGTTTTAACAGAGCCATTAATTTTATATTTTGCTCTACTAGATAAAATGTCTTTGTTCATTATTAAGAATCAATAAAAAGGAAGCAATGAATAGATGAAAATGCATTTATTGAGCACTTGCTAAGCAAGGTGCTTAGTGCTGAGATTACATTTCAAGCAGAAAAAGTATGACTTGGAGGGCCGAACAGTACAGAAATTAACAAGTTAGCAGCAGGTACAGGGTAGAAATCAAGTGAAGAACTTTGAAAAAGGACATTAGTAAAAGATGTCATCAAGGAAATCGGTGATCTTGTATTCTCTGTGCCTTTCAGTGAATTATAAGATGATGAAGAAAAGCTGGTTGTGAAAACCTCTCTTAATAATCCTTTCCTGAAAATGCCCTTGATTCATATATTCATAAGTCTCATAGAGATTTTGTGTTGATCGAAATTATCCATTTAGCTTGGTAGCTGCTGATATTCTCCTGGTTCCCCTTTCTGGATATCTTCCATTAGTATCTTTGCCTATTTCTGATATATTGTCAGTTCATTCCTCAGTGTTCTCATAGTTTCATCATTGTTTACCCCAGATCTTTTTGGACACTAGCATGAATCTTTATTCCTTTGCCTTCTTTGTTTTCTTTTGTGCCATTTCTAACTTGCTGAAAAGCATTGTAAGTTTATATATTTCTATTTAGAGACGCAGCTATATGTGCACTATATACATGCATATACATTATGCATGCACATAAATATATATACTGGGAGAGACAGCAAACATGGGCAAAAAAGCATTTAACAGAGTGAAGATTGTCTTTACAATCCTGAAAACTGAGCCCCCCATTGGTAATTGCTTTTGTTGTTGTGTAACCAAGAGACCTATGTCACAGTGGAGTGGGCCCTATTGGATGAAACCAGTGAAGAACTTTGAAAAAGAACGTTAGTAAAAGATGTCATCAAGGAAATCTGTGAGAGGAAGAGAAGATGGGCCAAAGATGACTTCAACTATTTATCAAAGAATGACAGTTATCAGCTAGAAGGGACCTTAGGTGACGTAATCCAGTGCCTTCTTTTTGTAGATGAGGAGTTATCCCTAGGCAACTGAAATTCAACATATATAAAATAGAACTCCTCTTTCCCTCTTCTCTTCCCTACTTTACTGCTACTCTTGATGGCAGTATCATCTTTCTACTCACCCAAATTTTCAGTCTCAGTGGGACCTTGACACCTCACTTTGAATTACCTCTGCACACATAGCCATCTTTTCCCAACTTTTGTAGTTTTATTTTCATAACATTTCTTGTATTTATTCCGTTCTCTCCACTCACACAAAAACCAATAATTGTAGCTCAGGACCCTATCACCTCTCATGAAATACTGCAATAGCCTGTTAATTAGTATTGCTGCCTAAGTGAGTTCTACCCATTTCAGTACCAGACTAAATGTTTTGACCCTACTACCTGATGAATCCAGTGACTCCCTGTTAACCCTAGGATCGAATAGAAATGACCCTCTTTAGCATTAAAAACCTCTCATAACCTATCCACTTCCTAATCTTTCTAGTCAACTTGCATTTCTTCAGAAAAAACATTTTGTCTCCAGCCTCCATGGTGGTAGATTGGCTGTTCCCCTGTGCCTTAAATACTTTCCCTCTCCACCGCTATGTTTTAGCTTCCTTGGCCTCCTTCAATACTCACTTTAAGTTTGACCTTCTTCAGGAGGTCTTTCCCTTCTATTGGAAGATTTCATCCCACTACTTCGTATGTATATTTAGTTATTTACATATTGTCTCTCTCATTACAGTGAAAGCTTCTTGAAACTGCATGTACCTTGGTATCTCCATTGCTTAAAAATGTGTCTGGTAAATAATACGTATTTAATAAAATAGTAAGAACTTAATTAGTGTACTCTGCCTAGACTAGTCACTCATTCCTCACCCTCATTGTTGTGTCTAGCACCTCATACCTATCTAGGCAACATGACACCCTTTGTATGATCTTGCCATGGTGAGTCTATGATACCCAGACTCAAATTTTTTAAGTTTCAGCTCTCGTGAGCCTCAGACCCTTGATCTCTTTGATAGAAACTCAGGCAAAATAATGTGTTAACTTTGTCACCTAAACTCTTCTGGTATCATCCTGCTAAATAAGTTTGATTGGCTGCCAAGACAGAGATAGGATTTGAACTCATGTCCTCTGTATCCACCTAACGTTATTTTCCCTGTACCCACCATAAATTCCTGCCCTGTTTTTCTGCTTCCTTTTCATGGGCTGTGCTACCTAAGCCACACTTCATTTTGGATGTTATAAGTATTTATTTCCTAAATTGTTTAGAATTAAAATTGTCTTTTTCCTAGCGATTGTGATCCTTGGTTATAGAGTTTAGATTTTAATATTCATATGAACCTGAGAACCCAGACTATCACTTCACTGCGACCCAAAAGCAGTCATTAGTCACAATTCCCTGAAGAACTCATTTCATCCGTGATGCTTTGCAGAATTCCCCTTAATCCCTGGCGTTAGTGTTATCCTATCCATGGTGCAGTAAGAAATGAAAGTAATAATATAAAAGAGTATTTATATAATTTAACATTCATTATTTCCCTGGCATGTGAGGCCAAGGCAAAACCAAAGTAGTAGTCATTTCAGCTTCACCTCATCTGTGTTTCTGTGAAAATACATTTCTTCTTTTCACTATGCACAGAAATGGTTGTGGTGATCTTGCTCTGCTCATTAAAAAAAATGTGTCTTGGAAATCAGTAAAGTCTTATTCTTTGCTTAGAGTGGTGGAATGGGAAATGGATAAAGAAAAAATGTGATTAAGGCTGAAAGAAGAGGTAGGAAGGAAAGGGAAGAATAGTTGTTTGTTTTTAAATGGAAGAGAAGGGAAAAGATTGCATTTGGGAAACCAGAGGAACTGCTGTTGTGAAGCCGAGATTGCTGTGAAGTGGCAGTTCTGGGGATAGCTGTGAAGCCTGTTCTACATATATTCCATCTGCTCACCAGCTGATCTGGCTTTCCATCAGCAGAGGAAGAGTGTTCCCCTGTCAGTGTTTGATATTCATGCTCAATTACATTAACATTGGCATGTTCCTACTCATTCCCCACAGTCTCACTTCTCATTAACTGTATACCTCTGCCTCCTTTGGATGGAAAGCCCTCAGCTTTGCTTACGAGGCAAAGTTTTAGAAATACACAGTTATTAATCATGCATTCACGATGAGAGAAAATAGCAAAAGAAGGTGGGGGTGGGGCATGCAGCAACTTGGGAGAAAGTTGAAGATCTTTTTAAGACTTGACCCATCTGTCCCCATCTTCTAAATGAGTGGGTGGTTTTTGCAACCCCTGTCTGCTAAGGAGGGAGCAGAGCAGAGCAGAGCAGTGGTTAGACAGACCATTTTATATTCGTATGAATGTAATGGAACAAAAGAAAATGTTTGCCATTTGGATTAACATTTTTTAAAAAAAATGTCCAGGCTAGCTCCTATCACTTTTGTCAAGCTTCTTCTTTTCTAAAACATTTTAAAAAACTAAATAAAAACATAAGTTTCTGAAAGTACTGGCCTAAACAACATAACACAGTGTATCA